GGTTATACAGCAACTCCAAGACTGGTTTTGAAGCCAAGAACACAGCCAATAGGAAGACCAATGACATAGTAAGTAACAAGATTCACATAAGCCACCACTGCTTGCCATCCACTTCCAATAGCAACCCCTTTTTTACCAATTTCACAAAGTTTAGTCCAAAGAAACTAACATCAATCAAGAAAAGAGTTGTCTTTTTACCAGAGAGGATTGGTTGGATTCCGTTTAAGAAAATGGAAACTGCGAGGAGAGGAAATAGATCAGAGACTGCAGCTATAACCTCTGCATCGTTGGTGAATGCTTTGCTAAGGCCGACGCGGAACACGAGCACAACGACGCATAAGAGTAAACTGATGAGAACCGTTGTGATGTTGACAACCACTACTGATAAGTTAGCCACTCTTGGATTTCCTGCTCCTAGCTCATTGCTCACTCGGACACTGAACCAAAAACACAAAAACCGGCACGTTGTTTGAAAATGAATCGTTTCAATTGAAACTTCAAGCCGTTTTTGGTTGTGTTAGTGTACCTGGTTGCTGCACTTAGACCAAGCATGAACTGCATATCCCAATTCAAGTAATACATGCTGCAAGAAAATGACTAAACCGGGTTAAGATATAACTGTTGAGATTCATCGGACTTTAATAAGTGACGGTGAGAAGAAATACCATATTGAAATCGCGTCTAGAGAAATTGTGGGATTGGTGAGTAAACCTGAGATAATCACTAGCCCTTGGTTGTACCATATCTCCAAACTGTAGGATTATTCATTTCAAGTTTGTATAAGTTTTCTTTGAACCAGAGACTTAACCGGTAAAATCAAACAGTCTTGTGTTTTAGAGACATTTACCATAGCATGACTGCTGAAGCTACCGTGAGCTTAAAGTAAGGCCAGATTCCTCTAAAAGCCCTAGCTGAAAGCCCGGTCCAAGTCTCCTTACAACTCGGGCTCATCACGATATATAGACCGTTCACAACCACGAGCAGCCACCACGAGAAACTCAGCGTCAGAGCCGCCCCGAGCAAGCCGAAATCCAACACGTTGGTTACCAGCCAAGTGAGTAACGTGTGGAGCAAGAAAACACCTAAAGACATGTAAGCCAAAGGGTTCACTATGTTCTGAGCCTGGAGGAACCTCTGCATAGGGCAAGCGAGAGCAAAGGCGTAAATCTGCGGAATCATCCCTCGAGCAAAGACCTGACCCTCCTGCGCAATGGCTACAGTTTGGCCCATCACCTTTAGGATCGGACCCGAGTACCAGTAAAGGAACGTGAGGAGGACCGCAGATGCGAGGTGCAAGACCATGGCTCTTTGGCAGATTATTCCCATTGACGAGTACTGCCTCGCCCCGTACGCTTGACCACATACTGTCTGGACCGCGCTCGCCATTCCCAACTAGTCAATTTGATTAATAAAACGTTTACAAATTGAAAGTGTTCAATCAAAATAAACCGCACCAAAATATATAAAAACCAAAGTACCAAACTAAAATCTAATGTATGGTGAACATTATTTTTCTTTTTGTATATCTTAAAGACCAGAACTCAAATTCAAATTGGAGGATAAAACCTATTCAAAAACAACAATCATTCTTTAAAAGTTAATAATACATTTGATTAAAACCAACAATTGATCTGCGCTCTTGGTTAGTATGATCCAAAAGTCAAAAATTATGAAACTCAAACCGGATTTACAAATTGGTACGCAAATGATGTTCTTTACTCTGTTTTTACTTGATTTCACAGCATATTAAGTCATAAGGACCAAAATGTGTTTTCGTACCATGATACCATAAGCGAGGCCTTGAATGCCAACGGTGGCGATGGAAGCTCCGGCGAGCTGAAGGGAGCCAAGATGGCCGGTGAACATGACGGTGACGAAACTGAGCATGTAGTTTAGCACAGAGACGACTATGGAGGCTCCAGAGAGCTTCCAAAGAAGCTTTGACTCCCAAACGGCTAGCCTTAGCCACCACCGTGGCGTCACCGTTGATCCACTCCGGAGAAACTCTTCTATCTCCCGTGAAGAACGTTCGGATATTTGGGAACTGGAGTGGAGCCGTGTCAGTAACGGCTCGTATGTCTCTGTAGAGCTCATGGTCC